TCTGGATTCTCTGAATTTATTAAGATTTTATTTATTTATTTGACAGAGAGAGAGACAGCGAGAGAGGGAACACAAGCAGGGGGAGTGGGAGAGGGAGAAGCAGGCCTCCTGCGGAGCAGGGAGCCCGATGCGGGGCTCGATCCAGGGACCCTGGGATCATGACCTGAGCTGAAGGCAGACGCTTAACGACTGAGCCACCCAGGCGCCCTGGATTCTCTGAATTTATTCCTCCAGAATAAAGCAACTAAGTTCAAACTCTGTCAGGAGTTTTGTCTGAAGCCCATCCCTGGATGGGGTTTGTAATCCCAGGTTAAAATTCTTGCTCTTAACATTCCTCAAGCTCCCAAAGGATCTGGTGTTCGGGTCTCCAGCAAATAGTGACAAAGCAGCCCTTGCTTTTGTGGCATACATGGGCGAGGGAGGGATGGGCACGCTGGCCAATCAGAACTTTAAAATGTGGGTCTTATGTTCTTTCTGCCTCTGGGTTTTGGGTGCTAGCATCCCAATTCCATCACATCCTGTACTCTTCCGTTCTTACTTCACTCTCAGTTGCTACAGGTGTGTGTGTGGGGGGGGCAGTGGGGGGTGGCAGGAAAAGAAATGAAAGGAATTAAAAGTAATAGAGACTTCTTGTTCTAGCCTACCAGGGAAACCAGGATCACCTGTAGTAGATATTCTTTGTACTCGTGACAGGGGCTTATGGATAAGTAAGAAAGAGGATTTGTACTTAAATATCAAGAACATTCCAATGCTTAGCCGGTTATACTGTCCACCCTTTCATCGTTTGCATCGTCCTTCTCCAAATTATTTGTCCTCTGGTGGATCTTGACAAAGTGCCTGCATGCAAAACCTGGATGAGCCAAATTGATTTGCCTATAATTTGTTTGTGAAGTGATCAGGACGTGGTTGAAGTGATTTTAATTTTGGAGCCCAAGTCACCAGTCTGTCTTTTTGTCAGGCAATTAGTTCCGCTAGCTGGGCAAGAATGCTGTGATACAGGAGCCAAGGGGAACCGGGCAAGCAGAGGCAGTATAGCCTCTCTTTTTGCTTCCTCTGTGTGTTCCTCATGCCAGGCTTCTTTTGTCTCTCTGGTTTATTTGAGGTGAAATCTGCTGAGCACCAGGCTCTGTGACTTTGCTGGGCATCATGCTGTGGATAAGTGCTCTGGATAAGGACCCAGAAGGAGGTCAGCAGAGGAAACCCTAACAGTAGTTACTACTTCTGGCAGGGTGTTAGGCTCTTCACCATGTGTTACTACTTCTGGCAGGGTGTTAGGCTCTTAGATTCATTTCATGCACTCGACAACATCAAATGACAGGTATTAATACCTTCATTATACTGATGATGAAATCAAGGGGCAGAGGGAGGTCGGTAATTAACCGTAGTGCAGAGTCATGGCTGCAACATGGGTGCTTTTAATCCCTGGACTGCACTGCCCATTCGGCCACACAGAAGCCATGGCCTTTTGGACTTTGGGGAGGAACCATGTTGGGATAAAGAGGCAAGCTAACAGTAACCTCAACAAGGCACTTCTACCTCCGAGGGCAGGGACTTGGGAAGTATCCTCCAAGCGCAACGGAACCTGCTTCATCCTCGGCACATAGGAAGCACAACCATATTTGTTTAGTGACTACACTACATTATCCCATCTGATTTTCACAATGAGAGGCAGCCAGGAAAGGTATTATTATCTTTTTTTTATGATGACTTTCCCTGAATTTAAAGGAATATCTCATATTCCCAAAGTGATTCAAATAAATTTCCAAGTCATTTTAAATTGTCACATGGACAACTTAACCTAGAAAGATTTGAAGGTCCCAGAAGCAGGGACTACCTCCTGTACATCTTGTATCCCTTCCCCCCACAGTGCAGAGTACATTGCTATGGTCACAGAACGTTCTGTCGGACAGTGCTACTCCAGAGGCAGGCAGAAGCTAGTTGGTGATGACCTAACATAATACCCTACTTCAGAACCAGAGGTAGAACTTAATAATTTTTGAATGAATAAATGAATGAATACCGCAATGGAACTATTTTCTTAATATAGACTAAGCTAATTACGGTGATCAGTCATAGGTTGAATTAGAGCTTTCCAGAGTAGCTGACTTCATTTTTCAAAATGAATCATCAAAAAGAGCAGAACAACTCATTTCTTAAAGATGTCAAAGTGCAATTTTAAATGTCATGCTAAGTAATGGCAAGATGCTGGCGTGGGCTAGTCAGTGATTACTGCTATTTAACAGTAATTCAGAAATAAGGCAAGAGCGATGTTTGTACCAATATGGCATTGAAATAGTCAAAACCAACTCCAGTTAGATAATGAATTCATATTAATAATGCATTTCATTTATTTTGTACCATTTTTCATGAAGTTTAAAGTGAGTCATGGTTATTATTTTAGCTAATATGATGTCATCTATCTATGCCAGAAGACTGGCATTGCCTTTTCAAAAAATGACAGAGAAATGAAAAAAAAATAAGGTTTTGATGATGATGATGCCCAGTGGGAATGATATCCTGAGTCCCCTTTTCTGGTCCTGTGATTGTCTCACCTATATTTTGGGGGACACGTGAATAAAGATGAGTAAAATAGACAACAGAAAGGCTTGGTTTATTGCACTAAGCTCCCCAGAAAGTGCAGCTTATCTTATATTGTTCTATGCCTTAACCAGCCCCTTTGGGGAGAAGTGCTTTTTAGCAATTCAGCAAATTGGTATTTTGTGGAAAGACAGCAAAGGCTGTGGCCCATTTAACCCCTGATGTTCCTTACTTTAACCAGTCTCATCTGTACCAAAACCTGTCCTTAACTAAGACTGATCTCATACAGTTCAAGGGAGGGGCATATCTCCAGGGTAAAGCAACCCATTTATTCACTTACTGAATGTCTGCAAATGCCAGACAAGTGCTAGGAACACAATGACGAATGGTACACAGTTTCTGCTCTCAAGGAGCTCTTGGTCTCCTGGGACCTCAGGTGAGTAGACTGGTAATTACCACAGGGGGTGACCAGCGCTATAATGGGGGTGAGCAGAGGCTTCTGAGGAACGGGGGATAAGAAAAGGCTTTCTGGGAAAAAAGGAACAAATCATGTCATGAAGCCGAGGTAATGGTTAGGTGATGAGAGAGGCAAAGAGAGTACAAAAAAGAGAGCAGGTGTTGATAGAAGAATTATGGGAAGTCATAGTGTCACGAAAGCCCAGATTCCAGAGGCCCCAGTGGATGGAATGCTGGCATGAGGCTCTGGAGCTGTGCTGTCCAATATGGTAGCCAATAGTCACCTGTAGCCATTTAAATTTAATTACAAATTAATTAAAAGTAAATAAAATTAGAAATGCAGCCCCTCAGTTGCACTAGCCCCACTTAAAGAGCTCACTAGGCACTTGGGGCTACTGTGGTGCCCCCGTGCAGATCTGCAACACTCTCCTCACCACAGAAATTCCATTGGATGGTGCTTCTCTAGAGGCAGGCAGGGGCCAGCCAGCGGTAACCTTTGAATGACATGCAAAGGTACTTGGACCTTATTCTGAGGACAATAAGATGCCACTGAAGTGTTTTATTCAGGAGAGGAGTATGATCACATTTATATATTAGAAAAGCCACTCTGCAGGACATGGAAGGAATTAGAGAGAGGCAAGACTGGAAGTTAGAGAGACCAGCTCAGAGAGCTTTTCATTCATTCAAGAAAGAGACGATGAGGGCCTAGAACAGGTATCATAGTAGAGAAGTGTATGGATTCAAGAACTATTGAGAGAGCTAATCAACATGACTTAAAGTTTAGGTGTGGAGGGCAAGGAAGGCAGAAGTTAAGGTTGATCCCTGCTTGGGCAGCTAGTGAATGATGGCACCCTTAGCCTAGAGAGGGAAAAAGGGAGAGGAAGGAATAGATCTGGAGAAGAGAGATGATAAATTCAACTTCGTTCTTGAATTTGAAGTCAACAATGAGGCGTCCAAGTGAGCTTACAGAAAGGCATTTGGATAGTCAGACCTGAAGCTTGGGGTACAAATCTGGGCTGGAGATAAAGATTTTTTTTCTTAAAGAATTTGTCTCTCTTTTTTTTTTTAAGATTTTATTTATTTATTCGACAGAGAGAGACACAGCGAGAGAGGGAACACAAGCAGGGGGAGTGGGAGAGGGAGAAGCAGACTTCCCGCTGAGCAGGGAGCCCGATGAGGGGCTCGATCCCAGGACCCTGGGATCATGACCTGAGCCGAAGGCAGACAATGACTGAGCCACCCAGGCGCCCCTGGAGATAAAGATTTTTAAGCCATCACCACATGGGTGACATTTGAAGCCATTGGAGTAGATGAAATCCCTGGGGGAGAGAGTGTGGCATGAGATGCTAAGCACTGAAGGCTGATGATGATGAGACCAGCCGTGAAAGAGGAGCCCAGAGAAGCAGCCAGAGAGGCAGAAACTATATGGGAGCCAGGTAAAGAGGATATTTTGGGAAAAAGGAGTGGTCATCACGTCAAGCGCTTTAGGGATGTCCTCTCTGTAACCCCTGTGTCATTTTTAAATGTCTACCTCATATTAGAGATATTTGTAACCACTCGTACGCTCTGTACTACTCTAAGCACATCGCGAGTACAGACGGGTTCTTCTATATCGTCACACCTTCATTTTTCCTCGTGTCAGTGTTGCATATAGAAGATACTCTTTTGATAGTTGTTTAATTACTTTCCAGCCTTCAAACTTAAGGCTCTTATTGGACTTAAATATATATAAAGTGTGTATCCTTTACATGTGTTTTCCTCTTAATGCAACTTTCTCTGATGGAATGAAAACGTCTCAGTTCCCAGGGAGGGTAAGGTCATGATAAACCCATAACTTAGCAGAATCTCATGTTTTCAGGAAACTTTGCAAATTGGGGGTGGGGGGGTAATTCCCTCCAAAACAGAAGAAATAGAACAAAGATGAATATGTTTTAATAAAAAAATTTTATTATGATTATTTACACCAGTTCCTTGATAAGCATATAAATGTAAACTTTTATCATTGGCATTATTTCACGTATGACTTATCCAAATTCAGAGTTAATACCGTCATTTGAGTGTACAGGTAGTGAGAAAATTTTATTATATTCACAGAATATACATACACGTGCATCCAAAATGTGTCCCGCGTTAAGCCAGTGGTATAGACACAGTCCCATTGGCCCGGCTTCTGGTCCGCAGGTGTATACTGGAGTCAGTGATGTCCTCCACATGCTCCTCGCTCTTCTTTTCCTTCAGGCTGTTGATGAATCTCAGGGTAATTTCATCCCACTCCTCTGGCAACAGCATCAGCAGAAACCCAATGCAGATGATGATGGTAGCGGCCAGGCGGACGACATTGAATATCACCTCCTGCTTCAGGAGATCCACAGCTAGGGGAGAAAAATCAGGTCTGTCATAGGCTATGACTGTTTCTAGGCCTCTCTGAGAACAAATGACCAAACTCAGTGCTACATCTAGAGGTTTCTAAGGTCTCCCTTGTTCTTTCAAGCTCATCTTTCCTTTCTCCATATTATTCTATCGTTCCCTTTGTTTGCTTTCTGTTCCTTCTCTCTAAGTCTCAGGCTTATCCTTCAAGGCTCGTGTCATCTCATTTAATTGCCTCTGCAAGTTTTATTTCTTGAAACTTCTCCTCTGCGTCCCTTCACACTTTTCCAGTTTCATTGGGCCGCTGATGATTTTTCAAATGAGCCAAGCTTGTTAATGCCTACATCTTGGCACATGCTGTTCTTTTTAAAAACATTTTTAGGGGCGCCTGGGTGGCTCAGTCGTTAAGCGTCTGCCTTCGGCTCAGGTCATGGTCCCAGGATCCTGGGATCGAGCCCCGCATCGGGCTCCCTGCTCAGCAGGGGGCCTGCTTCTCCCTCTCCCACTCCCCCTGCTTGTGTTCCCTCTCTCTCTGTCTCTTTCTCTCTCTGTCAAAATAAATAAAATCTTAAAAAAAAAACATTTTTAATTGAGGTGAAATTCCTATAAATTAAAATAAACTCTGTTCAAATGAATTTAGTGGCGTTTTGTATGTTCACAATGTTGTACAACCACCACCTCCGTCTGGTTCCAAAACATCTCCATCACTTCAAAGTATAACCCCTTACCCATGAAGGAGCTACTCCCCAGCTCCCTCCCCGACCTCCCAGTTCCTGTGTGGGGATCTGCTGTTGGTTTCCATGAGTTAACCTATTCTGGAGATTTCACATAAATGGAATCATACCACATGTGACTTTTTTGTGTGTGGCTTCTTTCACTTAGCATGACGTTTTCGAGGTTCAACCGTGGGGTAGCATGTCTCCACACTCCCTGCCTTTTTATGGCTGAATGATATCCCATTGTACCACAACTTGGTTATTAGTTCATCTGTTGATGGACATTTGGGTGTTTCCACCTTTTGGCCATTGTGAATAGGGCTGCAATGAATATTCATGTACAAGTATATTTTTGAGTCCCTGTTTTCCATTTTTCAGCATATGTACCTAGTAGTGGAATTCTTGGTCATGCATAGGCTGTTCTTTTTACACGGAATGCCTGTTCCTTCTCATATCCACACCATCCAGCTAATCCCTTTGTTAGTTCTCTCTTTTGGCTTCTTACAGGAAGCCTCCCTGGATGCCACTCCTGTGTGCTCTCAGAGCATTCATTACATACCTCTATCAAGACAATTCTGTTTCTACATTGTAACTACTCAAGTCCTCTTGTCTCCCTCTGTGTACTGCACGGTCCAGAGAACAGGAACTGTGTCTCACTCAGGACCCCTCACCAGCGTTAGCACTGTTCCTGGCACATCCTAAGTGCTCAGAAATGATGTGTTGAATGACCGGATCCCTGGGTGAATGAATGAACTTCCTTGACAACTCCTCTCCTCTCTGATATTTCTTTCCTCTGGATATCTTATAGTCCTAGGAGTCTGTCTCACACGATTTGGCATTTGCTAATAAATCACACTGTGGGGTTGTAAGTTATTTCATATATGTTGGGCTTGTTTTCTAAATTTGGTGAAAGTTTCTTATGGGAACAATAATATCCTTCCCCCCCGCCCCCTGTTTCTTCTACAGTTCTGCACACAGTAAGTGCTCAATGAACACTTGCTGATTGTCCTGGGGCAGAGAAAGGTGGGTACCCGAGACTTGGAAAAATAGAATTTTACAGTTAGAAGGACTGTACGGTGTTCCAAATCACTCACTTTCATTACTTGTTCCATTGACAGGTTGCATTAGGAAGATTATCCTGGAAAAATAGCTTCTCTTCTTGTCCCTGAAGTGAGTCCAATTGCTTTTTCCTGTATCTATTCCAGAGGGCCATCTGCTCTGCCCCCAGGAGAAGCTTCTGCCACTCCCCACGGATAGTCTGATGGGGAGCCAACACCCTGAACATTTCCTACACTTTTATTAGTGACGTTTACTTGAGAGTCCTCGGCTGGGATGCCTTTTGTTTCCACAGGACTTCCTCTAAAAATACTGCAAAATTAGGTTGTCAGGGAGATTACATGAAATCCAAATGATACATGTGGTATTTAATTCTAAAAGCACGACCGAGTAAAAACAGTGTTTATAGCTGCAAATTTTAAATCTGCTGCATAGTTATTCTGTTGTCTGCCACCTTCCCGATATTTAAAAACATCTTCCCAGGCAAGGGACATAATTCACAATTGCTCGAAGAAACAACACAAGGTGTAAAAGGAACACAAGCAAGAGACTGCGCACATGTCAAATCCTACAAGTACCTGCATTGCCAGGAACGCTGAGCACTGTCCCAATGGAGATCAGGATTGGGTATGTCAGCACCACACCGACATTCACCAGGATATTGAAGGCTGTTAAAATAAAGGATATAGATGATGAAGGGAAACTGATCTGCTGGGCTCTTTCCTTCTTAACATAATAGAACCAGTGTTTTTGCTAAACCTGCCTTCTACATTGTCTGCACCTTTGGTCAATTAATTCTCTAATTTGGGAGCCGGATGCACGTTTCTCGACTGAAGTAGTCTATTCTTTCTCCTCTGCCACCTTGACTGCCTGATCTCTTGCCACCTGGCTGGCAAGGGGCATATTGAGCAAATGCATAGCAGTGAAACAATCAATTCACGACTCTGCTTATTAGCACTATAAAGGTAGGCTGGGGCCAGCCAGAGGTTGAAAGCAGACAACGACTGAAGTTTGGGCTTTTTCCCTTTGTTACTTTGTTATATTATGACATATTCCTGATAACTAAAAGGCTCTCATGTTACTGCTAAAACGAAGCTCTATCCAAGGATGGCCTATGCGCTTTCATTTCCTTTCCCTCATGGTGAGCATCATACAGGCAAACAAAATTGTGTTCAGTGTAATGCACTGAACCCCAGGGACCTTTTCCGCATCCTGACTTGTGCACAGATTACCCAAGGGCAGGTCCATAGAACCAAAGGAAGTTGTAACTAGATATCTTCTAATTAATATCTTTGGATATTTTTAGTAAAATATAAAACAATCATCTACCTCCTACAAAAATGATAAAAAATACATGTTTTCAAAAGAAAAACAATTATAAAAAAAAGAAAAACAATGATAAGCTACACAGCATTGTTTTATTTTATTTATTTGTTTGTTTGTTTGTTTGTTTGTTTGTTTATCTTATGTAGGCTCCACGCTGGGAATTTGGGTTATGACTATTCCCAGCTAGATTGTTTTTGGCCAGGAAATTATCTAGGCACTTTTAATTAGGATGTTTGGATCTTAGGAGATCAAGACCTGAGCTGAGATCAAGAGTCTGACACTTAACCCACTGAGCCACCCAGGTGCCCCTACATAGCATTATTTTAATGGATTTCAATCCAGTGTTTGTTTTAGGGGTTGTTTAGATGAGTATTAACAACTATGAATGGTCCTCAATTCAGAGAGATCTCTTTGTAAATGACTCAACCATGTTGCCTATATCTCTATAGAGCCAAAGATGGTTCTAGAACTACTCCATTCAGGACAGTGTTTATTCTTCTATTGCTATCTACAATTCTTGCTTTAATTAAGCCCACTAACCTAGTTATCTGGAGTCACTTGTGGTTAGAGACAGTGGGTTTGACTTTCATAAAACTTGGGCTCCTTCATAATTATCACATAATAGTAGTGGCAGTTAAGGCAGAGGACCTTCCTAAGTTAATAACGCTTTCTCCTTCATGGCAGATCTACAATGAAAATGACTGTTCCTGCCCCTCAACTCTCTCCCCAGACTCAGGGAATCAACTATGGCACATTCTAGCAAGTCAGGAAATTTCTCAGTCCCACACAGACTCTGCTAAACTCCTGCATGGCTATTTTATTAGCTGAACTGGGTATTTCAGTGGATTGAAAGTATTGATGTTTGGGTGAGAACTGAGCCCTTCCCACTCAGCAAGAAACAGGTGGCTTCACCGAAATGTGTTGTCTGTTTTTAATTAGTTCTTTAGGTAGAACACTTACTCATTTTTCTGACAACCTAAGGACAAGAATATATAATTCAATATGTTATCTGTAGTATGGGGCCCAGCCCAAGTTGAAATGGGCTTCAGACATGTCAGGTGTGAATGCACCAGGCCAACCTGCATTTGGGCTTATGCACTCCCTGGCAGATAGCCCAACCTTCGAGAAGGAATGAGGCAAGGTGAGCCTAAGCAGATAAAAGCTGTAGTTACAGACAATGTGGGCAGGCCAGAGGACCACCTGCTGTTTGTCCAGCCCAGCTCTAGCCAGATCATAGCGGGTTACAATGGAGAAGAAAGGGATGGAAATAAAAACTCAAGAGCAGGAGCAGTGAAGACTGTATAAACCCTGGGGTGTGTAACACAGTCAGGAGAGAGGCTGTCCCCTCGTTTTGTCACAGAGCAGCTTTGGCCCCATGAGGACTGCTGGGGGCTGGGGACGGGCTGGGTGGAGCCCCTCTGGTCCTGGGCAGCGCTATACCCAGTGGAGTGTGGAGACCATGCTGCTTGATGGAGAACTAGTATCCCACTAGCCTGGGTGACAACCAACCTGAGCAGGGCTGGTAGAGGAGCATGTATTAGGCTGGCCAAAGGATATATATTGGTGAAGGGCTACTTTGCAGAAAGCTGGAGATCATGTATACACAGCTGAGTCCAAGAGTCAGTGAAATTTGGGTTACGACTGCTCCCAGCTAGATTGTTTTTGGCCAGGAAATTATCTAGGCACTTTTAATTAGAATGTTCGGGTCTTATGGAAACAGTGCTATGGAATTCCACTCAATTTAGCAGAGGTTATGAAAGGTCATAACTACATATTTTTGGACTTCAAAAGTAAAATTCAAAGGACCAACAATTAACATTTGATCATTCTCTTGTCTCAGACCTCTCCTTAGGGGCCTGGGCCAAAGTAGAGAAAAGATGACCCAGTGCTTATGTGGGAATGAAAACCGGGCATGTTTTTCTCCCAGGAATTGCAAAGCTGCTTCAGATTATGTCACCTTGATAAAGAAGGTCAGCTGAGGGTTGGCAGATGTCCTGCAGGTCAAGTGTGGTGGGTAAATGGGGACCAGGCAGAGGGGGCTGTCCTTAGGAAGGGTGAGGACAGAGGAGCAGAATGAAAGTGATTTGGCTCTGAGTAAAGGGACATTGAATCATGTCGTGGTTGCTGTTGTTCACCTGCTTGGGGAGACAAGAGTGGGCTTGTTATTTTTCAGGTTCCTTTTACAGTGAGTGACAGAAGCAGCATAGCTGGAAAGTGGGAGCCCTCTGGTTGCTCAGGTGAAGCAGAATGCCTTGAGTTTGGGGAGTTTGGAGAGACAACATTAAAAAGACTCTGGGTGACCTTTTCGTGGTCATTGACTAGGCACAGCCTACTTAGAAGGGCAACCAAGTCCAGTTCTGCCTTCTTCTCCTGCTTGCTGAGGGCTTCCTATCTCAAATTCCTTCTCCATACACAGACCCAGAGTGGGCTGACTAAAATGCAGATGTGAACCTGTCGTCTCTGCTTAAAGATTTTTCAGTGGATTTTAAGTCCACTCCCTTAATGGGTTTCCAGGCCCTCCATGGCCTGTTTCTTTCCAGAATGTCATCTCCTTGCTTCCTCCCTATTCCTCCTGCACTTGGTGCTCCATCCATTTTGATCCACCTTGAGTTCCTTGAATGCACCATCTCCTCTCTCCCTCTGCTTGATGCACCATGCTACACCTGGAACACAGTGACATCATACAGTACATCATGAAGAATGGACAAGGCTTCTTGAAGACTGGTGGTGATCAGAGTGGCCTGGGCCTCCAGCTCACACCTTAACCCATGGGAGGATACCAGTTGAACATCTCTGATCTAATGAAGCAATAGCCTGCAAAGAACCTTCTAACCATTAGCCAACCTTAGGTAAGTTTGGGAAATAGAGGACGAAGTTTCCCAAGGGAATAACCCTACTATGATCATTTATCTATCCAAGGAAAGTTCAAGTGACATAGGGAATGGAAGGCAAAACCCAGGGCCACTTACCCAGCCACAGCCCGGCCATCCCACAGAGATAGCCCCATGGCAGAGCTGCAAATGAGGACCAGTGCTCCACCTTGGTGAAATACAGGATGATCGGGGTGAAAGAGATGAAGATCAAATTGAAGAAACCCAATGTGGAGACAAAGTGTGCTGCTTCACCGAAGTTGGCACTTCCAAGAAACATCTTGAACAAAACCTTGGATTGGGAAAGAAATTCCTTAGCCACACAGTTAAAAACTTTGCTAGAGCAGAAAGGCACGTTCTACACAGTGAACTGACCATTCCAGAGTTTATCCTCTATTTCTTCTTACCCCACCAACTCCATGGCACTAAATGGGCCATTGAGATAAGGAAGTAAAATGCCCTGTAGTCTTCATATGAAACAGCAAATGCCATAAAATGAATTCCTTATGATGCTGCAAACTGCTGAAGGCATTGTGTTAAATACCACCATCGGGGATGGGTATAGGGTGAATGATAACTATGAGTGCAGATAAACCCAGGACAATCTAGGGTTGAGATGCCATCAATTCTTCCCCTCAAGCATGGGATTCATTTTACCCGTAATCTGACAGATAACAAAAACTAAATTAGAGATGATCATTATGTTGTTGAGAGACATAATAATGATGCCTTGGATTTATAAGCACTTTTCTGTCTGAGCTTAACATATTTTCACAAATACTGTTTATTCTCCAGATTGAAAAAAAATTTTTTTTCCTGGATATAAATCTGTGTACAGAGGAAGATAGCAGGGAGGTGTGAATGGTCAACATAAAGCCACGTTGGGCTAAGGAGGACCCAGGTGTCTAGTTGATACTTCTTGGCTTTCTAACCCTTCTGCTTCCTATATTAATCCTCAAACAGTGTAGAATGGAGCAGATCTTCCTGACGGTGCACATTTGATTTTATTCATGTCTGCAAATGTTACTGCTCCCAGGATGAATACATCTGTAACATGGTCAGGAGAATACCTCAATAGGACAGCCATCCCAGTCACAGAGCAATTCCAGGTGTTGCTTTTGATTTTAACTGAACTTATTATTTTTTTCTTCTTGAGAGAGTTAATCAAGAGAACTTGACCAGGTGCTGTTCTTTGGTCCCATCAGACACCTCAGTGGAGTCTCAGTTGGGGGCCAGTTAGACACTAATGGCAATTGAGTGAAAACTTGTCAAGCTTGTCACAGAATCAGTGGGCCAGGAAATGTCAATATGGAAATAGACTCAGTGCCCTCGGAGCCGCAGTGTTGGTGAATAATCAGAACAGGCATCCAGGAGGGATGCAAAGGGCCTTTCCTGCTTTTCACAGAGAATTTTCTCACTGAAACACTAAGAGAGGGGAAAGTGGAACAGTGCCTTAGCTACATCCCAAAAGCTGGCTCTGAAAAGTGGAGCTTTGGGGATAACCTTTTAGATCTGCTCTCTTAGTCCTTGCCTCTGAAGTCAGGGGCAACGACTGAATAGATTTTCCACTGATGACAGGCAGCTCCAGCAGAGAATGAGTGGTAAGTACATAGTGCAGATTCAGAGTATCCATCAGAGAGGAAAGGAGGCCCTTCGTTTCACTAATAACAGGAGTTCCTGTGGCTTCGGGTTAATACGTAGCAGTCAACTCGCAAGTGACAGCTTGCTTGTTATTTCTAACACCTCATTGGAGTTAAGATAATGACTGTAGATAGTTAACATAAAGAAACTTAAAGAGAAGAGGAGTCTATCCGCCCCTGCTGCAACTGGTTGATGATTGTGGAGGGGCCGAGGCGTGGAGCATGGGCTTTGGACGTGGCCAGTCAGAATTTAAAGCTTTCTATCGCTGCCTGGCTGTGTGCCCTTGGGCAAGTTACTTAATCTTTGAAGCTTCAGTTTCCTCATCTGGAAAGTGGGGATCAGTGCCTGTGCCTCAGAAAGTTGAGTTAACACGGGTGAAAATTTCTGGCAAGTGCCCAGCATGTAGCAAGTACCCAGTAAACGGTACTTAGTCTTATTTGAACCATCTTTTTTTTTCCTCTAGCCAAGACTTTAGTTGTCCTGGCTTCCTTTATCACTTGCATCTAAGTTACAGATGACAGCTAACGACATAAAAGAAAGGCACAACATACCTTATATAATGCAGATGTAGAGGCTGAGCCCACTGCAAATGCCACTCCTATGATAGAATCTGTGTGGAAATTATCTGCATATGCCATCATGACGATACCGGTAATGGCCATGATTGCAGCAACTATCTGTCAAGTAGAACGCAAAGAAATTTTTTTAAAAATTTGATGCCTCCATATCTCAGGGCAAGCAATTGAAGACTTCATGAGAGTTGCTAAATGCTTCCTCAAACCCAATTACCTCTCATACATCGCAGTTTCAAGTTAGGAAGGGTCAGTATTAACAAGAAATCAGTATGCTCGTGAGACATCCAGACAGAGACTATAAAAGCTGCTCACATTCTAATTAAGGGCTAGTAATTGCAGTTTAATCTTTTAGCTCAACTTCTTAGAGATTAATATCCATGTTGGTGAAGTAAATTTAATAGGAAATCACTCCAGAGCATTTTCATCTAGACTGTATTCTTTTTCTTCAAACAATTCAGCATACATTTTAATCTGCCCCTCAGACCAATGCATGATTTTGAAGATTGACCCATCACCGGGACTTGATTAGGGAGACACAACACTGATGCAGCTAAGAGGCAAAATTTAGGCCAAGAGACAAAAAGGAAAGCCTGTCACCTCTCCCAGTGATTTCTAAGGAAGGAGCTGAGTTTGCACTGGCACTCGGCATGTCAAACTAGTTCTTCCTTTGGTTTACGTGCAAATTAACCTCAAAAAGATATATTCTAGAGCATTAACTGCATAAAATGAAGTATTCATCATTTGATTAAAATCATAATGGTTTACTATAAATTGATATGATCCTGGATCTATTCAAAACGGGTCTACTCCCTTAGTGAAACGTTGATTTGCATCTGTTTCTGAAATTATCTTGACCTGACTCCAGTAGAAAACATTTCAAAGCTATGGTAAATGGTTCAATGATGGCCCCAGAATAGGGAACGATATGTGATTTCCCTGTGATATAGTCTCGCTGACTTTTAAACCCAGATGCAGCTTTGCGAGAAATGTATAGGCACCTGGTGGTTAATTTTGTTAAGGTTCAGTTCTGAGTATTCCCAAGTAAATCAATTCCTCCGAGATAGCTTTTCCGTATATGTGACTTTTGTTGGCCCCTCCGAATATTATTAGTGAATTATTTATTACAACAAAATGTAGCCCTTCGTCATGTGACTGTAGACTCGCTCCAGGCCAGTGCAGAGTATGATAGCGATGACACATATAATTTAGATGCTGCTAAAGCAATTCTTTTGTTAATGACCACCAAAAGCAAGTGCACTGTTGGTTTCAGACCTAGCTCCACACTGAAGCATCTTTTATGAAAAACAGCAGGAGTACTTGAGAACAGACGCTGACATGCAGCAGTGAAAAACCGTCTTCATAAAGCGTTTTTCCAGGAGGCTGCTTGATGGGAGGCATTCCTCTTGCTGAGAGAATATCATATTCTCTAAAGCTCCCAGGCATGTGTTCTAGTTAGGCTTTGCCTCTCACTAGAGGGAATAGAATCTAATACACACACCATGAGGTGTCAAGGAAATTTTCCAAACAAGAGGTAATAGACTCATAAATAAACATGGGGAGGGGGTTATCTCGACCTGGCAATTCTGTGAGGGCTATCATTTTCTTTGATTTGGGGATTTATAGTTCAGCCCAGGACTTGCAACGATCCTTTTGGCAGTCTGATTTCAGAGAAATGAAAAGGCACATTAGACACTGGCATTTTCTGATTTGTTTTCGTGTTTAAATAATGTTCATGGGTCAAAGCGTTCAGGTGCACAAGTCAATTTCCCTCATAAGACTGAGCTTGTAGGACAATAAATTTGAACCAATATTTGTTTTCTTTCAGCCAAGCATCAGTTATGTTTTCTTGTTCAGATCAAGACAGGGTTATTAGAATACAGTATCAATCGTAATGAACTTTAACATGATGTACTGTTTCATATTTAAAATTATTAAAATTATTGTATAATACATAATATCTGGGTTTAGGCAATTGTGTGTAGTAAGGATTTTGGGTCTAGGGAACTATGAAAACAAACAGCTTATCCAAAAAAAAGCAAAAATAAGAACACTGTCTAGAAAGCATGAACATTTAATACTATTACCCCAGGATATGGCTTCAGTTAGAAGCACTTCCTTTTCTGAGTCAGCCTCTAGTAAAAATATATATGCACAATATGTCTATTATAAATTTTCCCAAGATAGGAATTGAGTATGGACAAAGATTATAAATTTTATAGCAATTCAAAATTATAACTGTGATGAGCCTTTTAAAGATCTCCATTACATTTTATATTCAACTGCTTGTAGAAGTATTAGCTGGACCACTTAAGTTGACATATCAATTACACCAGTGTCTCTTTCAATTGCTTTCATGGAGCGGAGCATTTTTCATGTCGGGGGGCCAGACAATGTGGTTAGTTAAGTTCTAAAAGCATGAAAATCTGAATATTTGAGATGTTAGAAAAATTCTTCTCTATGGTATGAACAGTAACTTATAGGTTATATAAGTTTCCTGGGAGGAAAAGATAAGTTAAATTATTTTCCACATTTTTAATTTAAAGTTCACAACTATCTAACAGAACAAAATTTCTGTGGCTGTGTTTTAAGATACTTGCAATGTGCTTCTTATCTACACAGCTGGAACTCAGGGAAGAGAGCTCAGCTAATCTAGGAAATGCAAGGAAATATGGGGGGGAAGGCTCAGTGGAGTGGTCATTCGGATCCCAGATGTGGCTCTCTTTGGCACCACTGGTTAACTGCAGAGTAGATACTTTTCATATTTCCAGAGAACAAATAGCATAAACACAGATCTGAGTCACAGGTTTTTCAGAATTGGTAAGTTAAGGAAGGATTCATAGTCTGTTCTCTTGAACAAACACAAATGACTCTTCTTGGGCTCGGGACACTGGACATGTGCCTGCAGGAAGCCCATGCCTTAAATCCTGGGTCAGAAGTGCTCCTATATGCACATCTACACTGGGACAACCCCAAAAATGCCTTTGAGCACATTAGCATCCAGATGAGGGATGCTTCTGCTGAAAAGACACCATTTCCTGGTGTCCCGTCTGGCTCCAGAAAGACATGGCACTCCTCACACCCTACTCCAGTTCCAGCCCTATAACCAACCGGAGTGTCTAAATAAGACAGAACACTCACCACTACCATTCCATGAATCTGGTTCGGGTGAGAGTGTTTGTAACCATAATGACCATAACACTCCCAATGCCTCATTTTTAACTTTGGAAACCTCTCAGACCTCTCACGCCATGGTGTGCCCACCTGGGGGGAGTACCCCGAGGAAGAGGATTTATTTAGCCCATTTGCTCAGCATACCTCTTAAGGGACATTTCCTCCTGAGCCAGCTACCTTCCTCTGCAGGCTCAGCCCCCTCTGAGAGCCTCCTGTCAACTTTCAGGGCTAATCAGAGGGAGACCATGAGGCTGTCTGAGTGTGTTCCTAAAGCCCAAGGATGGCTTTGGAGGTAAACATTTGATAATCTCACTGTGCTATTTACCATACGTGACCCTGCATGAAAGCTAGGCTTCTGTCACCTCTCAAAGAATTCATCTGTACTCATAAAAGCTAGAGGAACATCTGGCTTTTGGCTGTTTTCTTGTATCATCATTTTTCTTTTCTTTTCTTTTCTTTTCTTTTCTCTTTTCTTTTTTTTTGTCTCAGGCCTTCCAAACCAAATGGTCTGGCCCTTCTCTTGATCTCTGTGAGGGTTCACCAGCCTCATTACAGTTACTGTTTCCCCCACTGACAAAATGGCGTCCAGAATTATTATTTGTGTAACAATACCAGCTCTTCCAGGGTTCAGGGTATTGAAGTGAACCTTTAATCGCTTCTCTTTCTAATTGCAACTGAAATAATTTTCCTTAATTTGCCTTGTGGTTAACAGTGTTTCTAAATCTGAGTGAGCATGGAGGGGCTTCCGTGGCTCACAACGGACCCCTGAACCCCAAGCCTACAGCAGCCTCTAGAATGGAGAGCCTCAAAGGTACACTGCTGGCAGGGTGGTACTCAAGCCCAAGACTATAGGTCCGCAGCTGAAGGTGGGATACACATTAATAGCTTGGCCGGTGAGACCTGCACTGATGATCATCCTTGTTCTCTTTGAGTTATTTAAATAGAATCCATTTTCAAGGAAAACCAAGGCTATGCAGAATCCTTAAGCTTGTCCACATGCTACATTTAAGGTTCCATGAAGGTGAACCATCTGTTTTACTCAGATCCAGTGAAATTGGACAAGAGTTGAAGTGTGAGAAATGAAAGAGGTGGGCAGTGTTTAGCTGTACAGATTGTGTGCGTGTGTGGCGGGGGCAGAGGGTGCCTGGGGACAGGTCAAACCAAGTTGTGCGGAGCTCCAAACCAAGATTCCCACCCCCATCCCCCAACACACAGCTATTTTTATATGAACAAAATCCATCTGAAAACAGTCTCCAAGAGAGACCAGGATTGGAAAAGTGGGAAAGAACAGCCAGATGGAAAGACTAAAGGGTGTGCATGGAGGATGGAGCATTCTACTTCAGCTTTCTCCTCCCAGGATTCACGAATTTTTTTCCTGCCAAGAGGGGGATGATAAGGATGAGTCCCACTACCCATCCTCTGCTGCTTCCTCCAGGAAGCATGAGGGTTCTGGATAGAGGATTCTGCACTGCACACAAATGAGCAGGTAGGGCATAAATGTCAACCAAAGGCAAGATGGAAACAAAAGGTTATCTCGACTCTTCTCTAGATGTGTCCTATTGGCACAAATCAGTAACAGCTCAGCTCCAGTGTCCTGATTTAGGGCACTCTGGAGCCCAATTTGAATTCAGAGAAGTGCAGGTTAAGCAGTGAAAGACTCCGTTTAACTGACATACTGTAGTCGGTCCATGGTGGATCTTGGAAAGGATCCAAAGGAGCCACAATTTGGAAAGTTAACTGCATAGGGACCCAGCTAGAAAAATATGTGGGTGTCAAGTCAAAGAGACACAAATTCATTTCCTAAATCTGCTAAGGAAGTTTGGGGTCTGCTGAACCATTCACCACCCACCAATTTTCTTCCTCCATTCAAGGAAATTTAAAAATGAAAGAAAATTTTCAATTAACAATATAAAAGATAAGGGGGGGACAAGAGCTGAAAGAAGAGTTTCAACTTCCTAGTCTGACATTTACTTTTCAAATTGGAGTGCAACTGATAACCCGTGATGGAGAAGAAAACCCCCAGCCAGTGGTTCATTTTCTTTGAGGAGAACCTTTTTTTTTTTTATTAAGGTGGTTTCTCTGCTTTTCATGAATTTAAGAACTCTAGCTAAACAAGACAGGATCTTGAAGATAGGAAAACACCCTTCTTCAAAGCTGCAAGAGCTGGATTCTCACCAACATTTGTGCAATTAAAAAAAAATCTTTTAAAAAAGTTTACTAATTTCCATGGGATGATCATATATCAGCTGTAAGCAAGTCCTCATGAAAGAGTTTTTAACACAGCGATGTTTACCAGCAATTTGGCTGAAATGATTTTGTGCTGGAAAACTAAATGTACAACAAATTACCTTTCCATCTGTAATGCAATCTAATATTCTAAGGAAACAAAATATTAACAAGTTATTCATAAAACAGAACTTGTTTTTCCATGAGCATTGCTACTTCTGGCCAACTGATGCTCCGGAGAAACCCATATTTACAGATTTTATAACTTAAAGCATCCTTCATTCTGTCTAGGGTGTCATTTGGATGTGAAAAATAGAAGTAGGAAATGTGATCATCTTAAATGTGAGCAATCTTCGGGTCAAACAAATGAAAATTACAATCCAAAAACAGTCTATCTGTAAACTACTGAAACCTTAGAGCGAGTCAAAAATACAAATGGTAATCTGATGACCGAAAGCAGCACTTTAACTATTTAACTATTAAAAAAAAGAGAGAGAGTAGTCCAAGTGGGGAGGCCTGCACGGGCTGTGCTTTGATCCTGTCTGGATGTAGGCAATGAAAACCGCATTTACATTGTCAGTGTTCTGTTTGCTCTCCTTTAATTTCTCAAATGACCCAATTATACATGTTCTCAATATGTATCAGGAAAAAACAGAATTGCTGAGACTGTCAAAAGGCAAAACACTGAAGCTGTTTTGGTTCTTTTCATATCCCACGGCCTGATTACAGGTGTCATTAAAATTACACCTTGACATTCTTCTGGAACGTGGCATTAAACATTTCCTCATATTTCCCAGTGAGGAGCAAAGCATTTCCTGGTATGTAAAAAGAAAACTATCTGACTTCTACCATGCTTGATGTCCATGTTTACCATTTTGCCATCTATAATGTCTTAATTTATGTATGTCCTTATTAACAAGTATATACAACTCATTGGCTACATAATGGTTTTTTTTCTACCGGGTCTTATTACTTATGGATGCTGTAGTAGTTTCCTGAGGCTGCTGTCACCAATTACCACAAACTTGGTGACTGAAAACAACAGAAATTTTTTCTCTCACAGTTCTGGAGGCCAGAAGTTCAAATCCAGCAGAGCCATGCTCCTAATGGCAGCTCTGGGAGAGAATACATTCCTTGACTCTTCCAGGTTCTGGGGGTCGCCCCTGCTTTCCTGGGCTTGTGGCCACGTCACTCCAACCTCTGTCTCTGTGGTCACATTGCCTTCTCCTCTTCTGTCTCTCCTGTGTGTGTCTCTTATAAGGATATATGTTATTGGAATTAGGGCCACCTAAACAATCAGGATGACCTCCTCCTTGCATGATCCTTATGTTAATTATGTCTGCAAAGACGATTTTTCCACATAAGGTCAGATTCACAGGGTCTGGGAATGAGGATGTGGACACCTTATTGGAGACCACCATTTAACCCACTATAGATGCCAATTTTCGAAGGGTGATGGTCTGTAGCCTCTAGGCAGATTTCCTAAATGTGTGATTTAAATAGAAGTTACACAGCTGAGTTTTTTCTTGTTTTTTTTTTTTTAAATCTCAAATAAACACTGAACCTCTTTTGATAGGATACCTTGCATCAGTAAGTTCCCTGGTTAAATGCATTTATTCACTCCAATACAACTGATTGTCTCACTGGTAAATCTAATAGTGAAGATATTGATTCCCTTTTGGTATTCAGATGCAGTTGAAAGGGCAGAAAAGCCCCTAAATCTCCTCTTTTCCCCTTTCTTCTGAGAAGACCCTCCAAATCCTCATGGGTAATCCCATGGTGCTGGCAGATAGAAAAGAGAAAGAACTCATAACCATGAATTTATTGACTATATCCTCAAAGATCTACTGAGCCCTATTTTGTCCCCTGCCTTATTCTAGGTGCCAGAGAGAGAGGCAGAGCTGGCTTCATGGGCCTATGACCTTTGCAGATGCATAGGGTCCCATGATTAGAAGGGCCTTGCCCTTGGTTTCATGCTCTGCTGTTGCTGCATTGAAATTATGGACAGATTTTTTTTTGAGTGGTCCCTGTGTTATTTAAGAAACAAAACAGATCAATATAGGGGAAGGGAAGGAAAAATAAAATAAGATAAAAACAGAGAGGGAGCAAACCATAAGAGACTCTTAACTATAGGGAACAAACGAAGGGTTGCTAGAGGGGAGAGGGGCAGGGGGATGGGCTAGATGGGGGATGGGCATTAAGGAGGACACTTGTGCTGAGCACTGGGTGTTATATGTAATGATGAACCACTGAATTCTACTCCTGAAACCAAAACTATACTCTATGTTAACTAACTTGAATTTATTTATTTTTTAATTTAAATTCAATTAGCCAACATATAAATCATTAGTGTCTGACCAACTTAAATTCAGATAAAAACTTGGGGGGAAAATAAAGCTGCTTTAAAAATTAAAAAAAAAAAAAAAGAGTAGTACCTGTGTTTTCATTTTGCACTGGGCCCCACAGATTATGTAGCTAATCCTGAATGGAACAGTGAGCAATATAGGGAGGGTCCCTGCTCTCAAGGATTTGTCAGGGTACTTGAGGGTAAACAGCCAGCACCAGTGTTCCACATATAAAAACATATTGTTAAGACCTTTGGATGGCAAATCTAAGTTAGCTGGTGGAGAGTGTGGTACACATCTGGGTATATTCTAATGTATCATGGACTGGTTCAGAGTTTCTCAACTTGTTTTCTATCATAGCTTTCTACTTCTTGTTCATGTCAAGCTTCAGTTCTGAATTTTTGAGCAGCATCTCCCAAGTTACAATTGGAATTTTCTATTAAAAAAGTTTTAAGGGTTAATGGCCATCATCAATTCTCTCTCTAGTATTAATTTCAGCATTTAGGGGGCCAGGGACCCTGAAGTCATTGCAACAAGGACAATATTTTGACAGAAAAATATGCTTCAAATCCAGTCTTGGACATCTCTTTTAGAGAATGATAAGTGTGTGATGTTTATCTTCTGGGAAAAGGCTTTTCATTTGTACTTCTTTCTAAAGAATTATGTTCTCAATATTTTCATCATGGTGGCATGCCAGATTACATGAATGAGATCTGGCTCCTTAAATCTGCATGGCTTTCAATCAATCTAATCTAGAGCAAGCATACAAAAGAATTTTTTTTCAAATCCATATTACTTCTGAAAGGAATAAACTCAGAACTGAAGTGGCTGGTGGGAGTTTAATACAGTTCAATTAAGGATTTGTACCCCAAAGTACAAATTGCTGCTTTTCGTTCCATTTCTAGATTAGTCACACTAGATACATAGCCACTTTTAACAGCATTGTGCCATTACCAGTGACTTTAATTACTGTTTGGTAACCTTATCTACTTACACCAACATTAATTAAATCCATCTCGGGGCCAGGGGGAGGGAAAGCATGAGGGAGTCGTCCTAACATATGTTGATTGAAAAAAAAATCATAATATTTACTGTGGCTAATTTTCTCAGACCCTTCTTTCCTGAGGACAGAAGGAGTTGATCACACCACTAATTCTTAAAAAAGAAGTTATTTTTCCCTGTTTTCAGGCCTCCTGTTGAAATCAGCGGACTGCCCAAGGGAGACCATCTCTTTATCCTTTCATGATATGGTAATTGCCTGGGTGTCCTAATGCATCTTCAAATTCCAATTTGTACTCAGAACCAATGGGGAAAGTTTGACAGAAATTCCATGAAACAGAGGAGCTCTCCTGATGCCAAGGATTTACGATTACGGGTGTCCTCACACAGTGAATCAAGTGTGCCATTACCCTCACTCCCATGAACCTGTCTTTCAGCACGATCCACGACAGCAAGAAGACAAAGGCTTTGTTACAACAGAACAGAGCAGAGACATCCGTGGCTGTCAGCTTCTTTAAAGCCAGTAAATACAGGTAATTAGTCAAAGTCCATAGAATAGAAAAGGGAGCAGTTCTTTTAAGAAAGAGCTTCAATGTCAGACCATCTTCACCAAAAATCCGACTGCATTCCCTAGGAAAGAAAAAGAGATTCATTGTCAGGCACTGATTGTGACACATTTTGGGTTGTCTAACTCTTGACAGCCATTTTCTGGCAAGAACATAAACACTCAACACCCTTTGTTCATCTGTGGAACTTACTGAACCCAGGGCTCCCACCTACGAGCCACGATGGGGGCAAAGGGTTCCATGGACAAGAACCCACATCTCCCCAGGCGCAGAGCTAGGCCCTTTCCTACCTAGATATTCTCTCGAGATGGCTGGGGCAGCCAGTCTGCTGCTGCTGAACATTCTCAGAGAAGCCTGGAGAAATACAGAAATGAATATTTTCTAGGATTACCAGCTATTAGATGAGAGAGAAGATTCTTTCCCAAGGGGCGAATACAAAGGACCAAGAGGGCTGTGAATATGTGAACAGGTAGAGATGACTTGCCGCCATGGAAAGCCACACAGTGTGGGATGTTATTTTTCCTGAGGGACAAGGCCTCTTTCTAATGTATCTGCCCAGTTGACTAATTTGTTTTTCCTCTGGCATTTTTAAGACAGAAAAAAATGACGAAAGCTTCTGTGATGACCCCAAACTGGTAAACTAACTAAACAAAAAATCAAACTCAGGTTGTATTTACATACACACATTTGGCTGTTTTGGAGGAATTATCTGAATTTATTGTATAAAAATAATCACTTCAGTTAAATGTTTGCTTTGTTTGATTTCTGACTAAATTGATTATTTAACCCAAGGGGCCATTTTAATCAAAATGTTCAAACTAGCGATACAGACAGGCAGTAATGATGTGATAGAATAACAGTGTTTGTCTGACTATGAACTGAAAACAGGCTCGCCGTCGGGATAACTCAGCTTTATTTTTTCCACTCAGTTGTTCATGAACATCCAAGCATTTACTGGGCAACTATCATGGGCCAGGCAGTGTATTCTCAAGAGTCATATAAATATCTTGTTCTATATCTTGTTCAAAGCAACAAGTTACTGATGTTTGCATGGTTATAATGAAATCTACATGGTTTCTCTGCCACTGATTTCTCTTCTAGCTTTTTCTGAAAAGAAACAATTGTGCCTCAAAGTATTGCAAACCAAAGTCGTCTCGAACCAATGTTTGCCCCACACATATGAAGCAACTTACCCCATGGGAGGGCCACATGGAGGGAGGGAGTGACAAAGTGGTGAGGCTCTAAGCACAGGAGTATGGCCTTCAATGTCAAGTCTCACGGTAAACACTGCTTCCAGGCAGCTGAGAATGCTGGGAATTGTAGGCCAGCGAATCCCAAGAGGTTAAAAATGCATATTGCACAGAAACCTGTGTAATAGTTTTAGTTTTTATGTGGGAGACAACTAAAACGGAAGGATTTTTGTAAAATAAAAATGTGATTTCCCAAAGGGAAATTCTAACTTGAAAGAGACAAAGCCTCAAGAAAGGGGCAAAATAACCTACAAATAAAGTCTTTTGTAAAGTAAACAGAAATTGCACCTGCTCACACACCCAGGGAAATGGAGGGCATCTCTCGAGCCCCGCAGCCAGGGAGATACGCGGAATCAGAGCCACAGTTGGCGCAGGACATCCTATCTGTCTGTCCTCACAAAGGGATCTGCTCTGTGAGAAAGTCTCCAGGGAGAGCTGGAGCTGAGAGCCGTGGGCTCATCTTGACATCTACAAGTACTAAATGACTTGTGAAATACACATTGATGAAGAACCACAACAAAGGCATTTCTGAAGAAAGAATTTCTTTTCACATCGCTGGCCCTGGCCACTGATGGTTCTTCCTTCCCAGAGCCCACCATCATGCTGGGTGGAGAGCCCTCAAGCAAAGACTTTGAATGCAGGAGAGCACACATTCTGACCCTGCGGGGAGGCACAGCGACAGGGAGAGCCCCCTCCCCCAGGGGGGCAGAGACTGTTCTTTTCACCCAGCCCCGCCTGGCCCCCTGGTGTTGGCTTCCTTATCAGTCCGCTCTTCTTCCCTTCTCTTCCTGTCAGCCTTCTCCTGGTTTGTCACTGCTATAGCAGAACTTAAAAATGCTCTCCATTCAAACACCAGGTCACTGGTGTAGGACCTTATGCTGTTTAAGCATTAAGCTCTCAGAAATGTGACAATTCAGAAAAAGAAAGGATTACTTTAGATAAACAAGTAACAGTGGGGCTCTCCTTGGGATGATGAGATCAGAATTTCTGGGCAAGAGGCACTGATAGGTGGCAAAGCTTGGACTGAAGCTTAGAAGCTGGGGGACACTAATAAATTAATTATGCTCAACATTGGGGTGCCTGGGTGGCTCCATCATTTAAGCATCTGATTCTTGATTTCCGCTCAGGTCATGATCTCAGGGTCGTGGGATTGAGCCCCGTATCAGGCTCCACACTCAGCCGGGAGTCTGCTTGAGATTCTCTCCCTCTCCCCATCTCTCCCTCTGCCCCTCCCCCCACTCACAGGCTCTCTCTAAAATAAATACATAAATCTTTAATTATGCTCAACACTGTTACAGCACCTACTAGTTACTGAACCCCTTCTATATGTCAGATGACATCTTAAGTACATTTCATAGGTGCTGACATAGATGAGTATATCTTTGGCTCTAGTTTCCTGCTTTCTAGAGATTTTTTTCCTTAAGAAAACATCCTTGTCAAAACTATGGCTTATAAATTTTTTCCTATTAAATTTCAAATTCATATGATGCAATTAAATGCTCTTGATTGTAATATCAGAAACGATTTCCAAATGAATAACCCCTACGATCTAAATTTGATACATTATTGAGAATTCTTTTGATGTTAGCGATAAGAAAAAAACTGAAAATGCTTTCACACCATTCAAGGGAAAAGAAGAAACTAGTCAGAGGGTCTGATGCTATGGGACACATTCTGTTTCCAGCCTTCTACACTAACTCTATTTTCCCCTCATTCTGCCATGAGAGCTGCAGGAAGTGCCTTCTTGGCAGACGGTGTTAATAAGTCTACAAGGAAAACAAGATCAAGGATCTCAGAATCTTCTGGCAATGTTTACCTCTCCTGGGGTGGGGGGGCAGCTCTGGAGAATAGTCCTGTCAAAGACAATGCTTTCTCCTTGACAATAACAGCCCTTTGATTCAGTTTCAGAAATGGTCAACTTTACCATACTTGCACTAACAGGTGGAGGTGTCTTGTCAAATCACAGGTTTTGCTAAATTCGGCATTAGTCAGACATGAGAGAGGTGGTGGAGATGAAGTTGATTCCCAAAACAACATTTCTGTCAGCAGCAGCCTCTTGTAAATGTGTTATCTTAAATAAAACCAAATCGGCTTGCTTTGAGGTGTTCTAAGGTACTACATCCCATACTAAACTCTTGTTTTTATCAGCATGTGTGTCTAAACCATAGGGGCATTGGAGTAGAACATACATGCTATGGATAAACTATTTTCAAACAGGGAGAATTTTAGTCTGATCATCATGTCCCCTGCAATCGCTTATGAAATATTGTTATGAGGAAAGACCTTATGCCCCAACATCATATCTATTTTGATGGGAATCAAATACAAAGTATCTTCAGCAATCACAAACAGGTGTCAGTTTTATTTCTCTCCTCCAAACCAGAAGACATTTATTATTTTTATATAGGTTTTGTTTAATTTTAATTGAGTAATCACAGACACCATGGGAAATCGGCTCACAGTGTGACTTTAATATTCTCAGGCACTTCCAAGCTGGTGATAGAAAATGGAAGTTGAAGATACACACTTTGCAGTTTGTTAAGTTTTTAAGAATAGTCTGATAATGCACTTCTTCTCGTGAAAGGGGCAAGAAAGAAAGGTGATTTTGGCTTCTGAAAGATGAGTTTGTTGTCATTCTGCCCAGGAACAATAAGCTGGTGTAAAGAACTGTCCCTCTCCCACTGCCATCCACTGAGGTCTTGACTACTGTTTTGTCTCCATGATTAGAGTGACTGTCCTGGAAGCTGTTCCTTCCCTCTGGGCCTTTCCTCTTCAAGAATCTGTCTGTTAGCAAAGATACTTTGACCCAAATGCTGCTTTTTGCCTTCATTGAATGCTGTGCAGGACTGGTCCTGCCAGCTTCCTGAGCTCTCCAAGATGGGGCTGCAGAGGCCAAGTTTAGCACAGAGCAACTACTAGAACCATGGCACTACCAAGTTCATAGCTGGTGAACCAACAGTGAAGGCCCCATGTGCTCCCAGCCAGCAAAGAACAGCATCTTCTAAACCTCAGGGCTGGCCTGCCTGGGTAGCTCAGTCCGTGGAGCATCAACTCTTGGTTTTGGCTCAGGTCATGGGCTCAGGTCATAGATTGAGCCCTGTGTCAGCTTCCCACTCAGTAGGGGGTCTGCTTGGAATTCTCTCTCCCTCAGTTCCTGTCCCCACCCCCATCAAATAAATAAATAATCTTTAAACCATCAGGGCCAAACTACCTTCTTTATGAAACCAGATCATTTTATCTGCTTAGGCACCACAGTGTCCAGAATATTAAGCAAATGTTTTTGTAACAATTAATCTTATTAGTACACGTTTTTTGGGGGGGGGCTTGAGACATTGGGGTGTTCTTTTAAAACATGACTTTCAGAGATAATTCTGGATTTAAATCTGGATCCTGTTATTTAGACCTGTGTGACCTTGGATAAGTCATTCAACCTTTCTAAACTTGTTTCCGCTTGTGTTAAAATGGGAATAACACCACCTTAAAAGGTACGTGTTACCACCAATGATGATTAATTAAGATAAGATCTACAAAAGCACCAACACAGTGCCTGGCATGTGGCAGACATTCAATAATTTTTTGCTGGGGGGGTTGCTGATTCTGTTTCCTAGTTCTCGTGTATTCATTACCAACCTTAGATCCTGGCTCTCCACACTCCCCAAGTCAACTCAGTTCATATACCACAGAGATGAAATTATGCAGATTTTCATGAAATTATTTTAAAACATCGTGTATTGGCCATTTAACATGAAACGTACCTGAATTTTTTCATCGGAGATTGCTTTTCTTGAGCAGTGGCCAGATGACCAGAATAATAGACTGGGAAAAACATAATGTTCCAGTTTGTTGAAAACCAAGTCATGAAAAATGGACAGTAGAAGTTCTTGTAAGTAATTTTTACAATCTGTGTGGTTCCAACCCAAGACGATGACACTGACAAGATGATCAAGAGTCCCCAGATGGCCTTCAGGACCATGGACGTGCAGGACCGGCAGCGAGCCTTGCTTCTGTTTTCTTGACTGCTGTTCTCAGGAAGAGTCTGTGTTCCATCCTCCCCTGAAAACAGGAGAGAAACACTAATGTGTGGAATTCAGGTTATAGGACAGCAACCAAAGAGGCAGACAGTAGAATCACCAGTGTTTTGCTTTTTTACCATCATTTAAAGAGATTCCTAACTCTGGCTCACTTCGTCTCCTGAATCTTTGCTCTGTAAGGTACAGTATGGATCTTGACCACCATCCATTGTCAAGGCCATGACAATGCTCATGAACTTGGTGGATGCTATGCTGTCCTTCCATGAACCCTAACCATTTCCTCATAAAAGCATTACATATTTCAGCCCCAAAGACTTTGGCCTTGGCCCCATGACCTGCTTGGTCTAATCAAACATGAATAGAGAGATGTGAGGTAGGCCACCTCCCAGAAGAAGCTTAAAGAGGCATCACAAGGTCCCACTAAACTCTCCTGCTCTTCTTCTCTGTCACTAGAATGGAATATGCCAAATAGGAGCTGCCCTTTCCGTCTCTGTGGGAGAATGAGCAGAGCCCAGCCAAAACGGCCCTGTATCTGCTGACATGAAAAGCAAGTGAGAAATAAGTATTTGTTGTTCTACTCCACTAAGGTGTTTGTTTTTTTTTTCCCCTGAAACTGCAGCAAAGCTGACTATTAAATTGAAAAGCAATGTGTCCCAAGAACAGGGCAAATCCCGACTACACAAAGTCATTTCATACATCAGAACAAATTACAATTTAATGTATTTCTGGGAGCACAATGAGTTCTGCTTTGTGTTTTTACATTTACTAAGAAAATTTAGTAGCATTTTTTTTACATTAAAGTAATCAAAACTCTCTGAAAGTGACAATCATAAAGGCCTGCTCTCTTGATAGAGGGAACAAGTTCAACACAATGAATTTATGCACCTGTCAGGAGGTTAAAAGAAAGCTGAGGTCACCCTGAGTCCCCAAGCTGAGATCCCAGGTGTTAGAATCCTGAGGGAAGGGAGGCAGAATTGTCTACAAGTTCTCTCCTGCCTCCAGGCACCTCCTTTGAGCACAGGGTTTGTCCTAGGGGTTAAGAGAGGGGTGTAGTCTGCGGATTGTAAGTGGTAGTGGATGGGTTTCTCATTTTCTCTCTCCAGAACCTGCTGTCTTTCTCTCGCTGAATGTTGGTCCTATTGTTTAATGAGCCAGGCGTGACTGCCCCCCTGGGGTAAAAACTTTCACCCAGCCAAGGCTTTCTGATATAATTATTTGGGGAGGGAGGTAGCAAGACTTGAAGGTGAATTCTGAATTGGGGACTATAAACCAAGTAATGACAAACACAGTAATTACTGTATGACTTCCAAGTCTTCTAAACAGTACTGGAATGTCAGGGCCCAGGCCTCTAGAAGATGAAAACTGGTCTTCTTTTTTTCCTGTATTCAACAAAATCTTATAGAGATTACCAGGAGCTAGTTAGCTCTTTGGGTCCTAAGGGTTCAAAGATGAAAGACCTGAGCTCATGGCCCAGTGTTAAGCCAGAAAACATCCAAAATAGTGTGATAGGGCCAACTATGGCAGATACAAGGCCATGTGGAGGCAGAAGAGAAGCACTGGTTAAGGGACAGGGTGGGAAATGATCACTAGAAACTTCCATGATGTAGTAACATTGACATGAGTCTGGAAGTGTGAGCCAGCTAGCTCCCTTTACTATGTATAGACAATTCCTGCTCTTGATAACAGTTCTGCAAATCCTCTCTATAACCACGTGGCTTATGCAGAGAGTAGAGGGGAAAAATATAAAATGAGTGAGAGGGTAGATTAAGAAACTCTTGTCTTGGGAGGCTGGGAAGGAAACGGTAACCTACTGGGTGAAGGAGGTATTATCACTCCCATTTTACAGATGAAAAAAACTGAGATTTGTGTTAAAAGTTGTCCAAGGTTGAACCCAAGTTGGTATGACTCTACCGTCCAAATCTTTTATTCTGGATATTTGTTCTATCTAGGTTTCAGGCTTGAGCTCTTCATTCAAGCACTGGAAGTTTCAGAAGCGGTCTGGAGAAAAATTTCTGTTCCTGACAGGAATGGTAGTCTGGCATGAGGCTTAAGAGGAGTGATGCCTAAGAGAAAGGTGTACTCTTCAGATTACATTATTCTCAGGGACCATCTCATAAAGGAGGAGTGATTCTACAAAGGTTCTCAGTATCCCGTTAAGGTGATGTCTGCCTTCACTGTCACCTTCTTTGAAGACTGCTCGGTGCCACCCTCATACCATGGACAGTACTCTTGATGACACCAGTAGTCACCTAGGTCCCTGCAGAGCATCGACCCATTCTTCTTCTGCTAGCTAGATTTAATTGTTGCCAATTCTTTACTTTTACCATCTACCAATGTCATAGAAAGACTGGGTCTCCAGAGCTCTTTTGTTTTTCTGGTCATTTTAAATTCTCTACAGTCCTGCTTAGATGTATAGTTTTGTATATATCATTACAACTGATATACCAGGAATTCCATCCATTACCATGAAACTTGATCAGATTTATTAATGGTAGAGGCCCCTGGAATTTGGAAACATGAGTGCAACCATTGTATGGCCCTGAGCTCATGTTTGATTCCAGTCTCAGCTTTTTTATCCGTCAAACAGTGATAACACTTGTCTCATGGGATTCGTTTTGAAGTTAAGTCTATAACATTCACGAAAGTATGGTGAGCTGCTCTTCAGATTCTTCCCCTTTTCTCTTTGGTGCCCTGGAATATCCCCCAAGTGCCTTCTGAACCATCACAGAAAGTAAATTATGTCCCATGCGACCTTTAATGGTATAGCCTTTAAAATTTGTAGTCTGCATATGATAGATAGGGCAAGTCTTTATTAACCAGTGTATTTAATTAACTGGAACATTCTCTTCTGCAGATAACTGGGATAATAGGAATATTACTGCAACTTATTAGAGCCAATTAAAACTTTCTGATGATTTAAGATGTCATTTTCTTCATTTTTAAAAAAGAACCTCAGCCTTGGGGTCAATAGTTGCTGAGATACTATTTTAAAATATTGTCACTTTTTGAAAAATATCTTTTCTTATATAAAAAAAACCCTTCTTCTCAAATTAGGGGAGCCCTAGAAGAGGCTTTTCTATTTCCTGTATACCTTTGTTACCGCCCCCCATCCATACTAAGTGTCCTGAATTTCATTTTCTTCTGTTTATTTTTTTAAGCCAGTTTTCTCAAAGGTCTGTTTTATTTTCAACTAACCATTTATTTTGGATGGAGTCTTTTGTTGTTTTTGCTGTTTTATTATTGTTTTTAAGGAAGCAAGAGATTTAATATGTTACTGACCCAGCTGAAGGAATGAGTGGAAGAAGAGACTGAAAATGCAGGTGGCAGAGAGGGAGAGGAGGTGGTCATGGACATAGCAAAAGGAGTTGACATTGGAAAGGTAGAAACACGCACGTTAAAGGCAGCGCCAAAATACGGTAATTGGCAAACAAAAGAACAGAGACATCGGGGCACAGAGGAAAGTGTCTGTTAGCATATGACTGTTGATTGTTTCGCTCTTTTAAAAAATGGAAGTGCAGTCATGTGACAAGAGGAAGTGAGTATGCACTGGGAACTTGAGCACATTCTCTAGGGAAGGCAGTAAGATATCCACCGCCAAAAAGGCCAGTATGGTCAGCAGCCTAGTGGACTCAGCTGCATCGGAAAATGGTAAGTTTGGTGGGAAATCCCTGGATCTAGTTATGAGATTCATCTAGCAATTCCAGTAACCTGAGTAACCTGGAAGTTGGTGAGTGTGGTCAAGCGGATGTGAGGAAAGTCTAGAGGTCTTGACTGACCAGTAAATGCTGATCAGGGAGGCAGTGCAGTGTCCCGAAGAAGGTGTAAAACTGGGAAAACTAAAAGGGTTCCAAGGACCGCCAGTCCTGACAGGCACAAAAGCAGAGTCCGTGATTTTACTGCTGTTTTTATTCTCAGAGAGGGAGTAGGCTATTACTATCCCAGGGTTGAGATCAAAGATGCTGGCGTTGACATCTTCAAGATGAGAAAACTAGTTACCTTATAAATGTAATTGGGTGTCACTGCTTAATCCTGTGTTAAGCACTTCAACGACTGTCTTTGGTATTTGCTTTCTCTGCTATACTGTACGCCACTAACAGATCCTAGCTACACATTTCCCTTCTTCCTTCTTCCACTTGATAAACCTTCCCCACTCCCACCCGACAGTCCATGTAACGTCTCTACATTCTGGGCCAATGGTACCATCTTTCATGGCTGGTTAGAAGGTTAGCTAGATGTACTGTTATTTAAGAGGAGGCCACCAGAGTACCTGATCTGTTCTGCCTTTCGACTCTGTGTCCACAAACTCCAGAGGATCCTCGGCTCTGAAGTTCAAAAATAGGAGCAGAAGAATCTTCGGTGACAGAAAGAGGGGAGAGTTGTCTACTGATACCACTGTGGGAACTGGGGCAGTTGGCTCCTGGTTTACATCGAGTAACTGAGGATCTGGAGGTACCTGGGAAAAAAGAGTTCAAAGCAGTTTGAGAACTTTCCAGAGGAAAAACTGGAAACAGAAGAAAAAAAAAAGATTTTTTAAACTTTATTTATTTAGGAGAGAGGCAGAGAGAGAACGAGCAGGGGCGAGGGGTGGGGAGAGGGATAAGCAGACTTCCCTCTGAGCAGGGAGCCCAACCTCAGGACCCCGGGATCGTGACCCGAACTAAAGGCAGATGCTTAACAGACTGAGCCACCCAGGCACCCCCAAACTAGAAACAGATTTTAAATGCCTTGGCAGTAAAATACATGGCAGCAGCAGTCACAGTCCTGATATCAGGGACATTCATTGAGCTCAATTCTAATTTTATAAGAGGGGCTCCTAAAAAGAAAATTCTATATTGGCAAGGTCTGTGTCCCTAAGATAAAGGGTCTTTTTAGATAAATCTGTCAACCAAAAATGAACTTCAGAAAATGGTGTTTGGGTTGATACATCTGTTCTGAATTAGAACTGTTAACACAGTCAAATAGTTTACCTCAAGGGAAGGAAACTGTCCTGTCACGCTTGCTTCTTCCCTTCTCCTCCTAAGATTGACTGTTGAATTCTTGACTGGTGAAACTGCCAGAGGTGTCTCCTATGAAGCCCACTCTACACTTTTCCACTGGATTGGTCACAAAAATCCGACTTGGTTGTGTCTCCTCAATCACCTCTGGCCTCTCTCCACTCTTACAGAGGAAAAATCCAGCCTTCAGAATCCTCCACAGGCTAAGCCCCACCTGATCCTGATTAATCTTCTAAGCACCCCTGCCCAGGGTGGGCCAGCTTTATGGGCCTGCAACCGGTGCAGCCACACCAGGCTCAGAAGGACCTCACATGCCTCCCCCACAACAGTGCATAGTTGCCATGTGGAAGTGCTTTTATCTTTCTTTTTTTAATTTAAATTCAATTAGTCAACCTATAGTACATCATCAGTTTTTGATGTAGTGTTCAATGATTCATTAGTTGCATATAACACCCAGTGCTCATCACATCCCGTGCCCTTATTAATGTCCATCACCCAGTTACCCCCTCCCCCCAATCCCCTCCCTTCTGTAACCCAGTTTGTGTCCCAGAGTCCAGAGTCTCATGATTTGTCTCCCTCTCTGATTTCTTCCCATTGAGTTTTCTCTCCCTTCCCCTATGATCATCTGCACTATTTCTTATATTCCACATGAGTGAAATCATATAATTGTCTTTCTCTGCTTGACTTATTTCACTTAGCATAATACCCTCCAATTCCATCCACGTAAATGGTAGGTATTCATCTTTTCTGATGGCTGAGTAATATTCCATTGTATATATGAACCACATCTTCTTTATCCATTCATCTGTTGAAGGGCATCTCATGTCCTTCCACAGTTTGGCTATTGTGGACATTGCTGCTATGAACATTGGGGTGCAGGTGCCCCTTTCACTACGTCTGTATCTTTGGGGTAAATACTCTGTAGTGCAATTACTGGGTTGTAGGGTAGCTCTATTTTTAACTTCTTGAGGAACCTCCATACTGTTTTCCAGAGTGGCTGCACCAGCTTGCATTCCCACCAAGAGTGTAAGAGGGTTCTCCTTTTTTCCACAGCCTCACCAACATTTGTTGTTTCCTGTTATTAATTTTAGCCATTCTAACTGGTGGTATTGTGGTTTTGATTTGGATTTCCCTGATGACAAGTGATGTAGAACATTTTTTCATGTGTCTGTTGGCCATTTGTATGTCTTCTTTGGAGAAGTGTCTGTTCATGTCTTCTGCCCATTTCTTGACCAGATTATTTGTTTTTTGGGTGTTGAGTTTGATAAGTTATTTATAGATATTGGATACCAGCCCTTTATCTGATATGTCATTTGCAAATATCTTCTCCCATTTCATAGGTTGCCTTTTAGTTTTGTTGACTGTTTCCTTTGCTGTGCAGAAGCTTTTTATCTTGATGAAGTCCCAATAGTTCATTTTTGCTTTTGTTTCCCTTGCCTTTAGAGACGTGTCTTGCAAGAAGTTGCTGTGGTCGAAGAGGTTGCTGCCTGCGTTCACCTTTAGGATTTTGATGGATTCCTGTCTCCCATTGAGGTCTTTCATCCATTTTGAGTTTATCTTTGCGTATGGTGTAAGTTCGGTCCAGTTTCATTCTTCTGTATGTGGCTGTCCAATTTTCCTAGCACCATTTATTGAAGAGACTGTCTTTTTTCCACTGGATATTCTTTCCTGCTTTGTCGAAGATTAGTTTACCATAATGTTGAAGGTCCATTTCTGGGGTCTCTATTCTGTTCCATTGATCTATGTATCTGTTTTTGTGCCAATACCATGCTGTCCTGATGATTATGGCTTTGTAATACAGCTTGAAGTCAGGCATTGTGATGCCCCCAGCTTTGGTTTTCTTTTTCAACATTCCCCTGGCTATTCGGGGTCTTTTCTGGTTCCATACAAATTTTAGGATTGCTTGTTCCAGCTCTGTGAAAAATGTTGATGGCATTTTGATAGGGATTCCTTTGAATGTGTAGATTTCTTTTATCTTTGAACTTATTTTCTGTAAGTGATTTCCAGTGGGATAATGGAGCACATGCAGGGGGCTTGGGCTCAGAGCCTCAGCTCAGGCGTGGTCTTGCCTCCTGTTGCCTCCCCACCTCTTGGAGTGGGTTTTCAGCCACCACTCCCATGTCTTTGCTTTGCAATCCTACAGGGACTTGAGTCCTGGTGTGGAGAGTGTTGGGATCTCAGGGTGAGACCACCAGTGTCTGTGGGGGCCTGCACTCACCCAACAAGTATCCCTGTGTCCAAGGGAACAGATGTTAAATAGCAAATAAAAAATGGAGAAAGAGAAAGAGAGAGAACATAAGAAAGGAAAAAGCCATTTTCTGCTTTTTGGAAAAGGGGCTCTACATTTTCACTTTGCCCTGGGCCCTCTAATTACACAGCTAGCCTTGCTCCAAGCTGAACACTCCATTCCAACTAGTTCTGGCTGTGTTCTGACACCTTCCTCTCACTACTGACAAGCTTTAAGCCTTTAACTGGGTTGTTCCTCTACCTGGAATACTCCGAATCTACCCAAATCTTTAAATACTACAATCAAATCCTGAATGGTTCATGCAGTCTTTGCTGTGAAATCACATGCACCTATACTTTCTTTGAACTTTTACTGTCTGAGCTCATTTGACAGTAGTCTTGCACTAGCTGTCCCAAGGCCTGACTTTCTCTTGTGTGAATGCTTTCACTCTCCCCATCTGCAGAAGCTGCCTGATGCCGGAGACTGCATTCTCTCTCTCTTTCTCTCAGTAAACTTTTAATTTTGAAATAATTTTATATTTACAGAAAAATTGAAAAGACAGTTGGGTTCCCATATGCTCTTTACCCAGTTTCCTCTAATGGTAACATCTTGCATCACTCTCCCCGCTATGCATTTGTCAAAATTAAGAGATTAACATTGGCTATTGTTATTAACCACGCTCCAAACCTTGTTTGGATTTCCCTAGCTTTGTTACTAATGGCCTTTTCCTGTTCCAGGACCCCACCCAGGACACCACATTGCATTCAGTCATCGTGTCTCCTTGGCTGCCTATGTTTGTTCACAGAGTACATTTATTTTTCCTTGAAAGTTATGAGTTTCTCTATTTCCATGGCTACAAAGGGAAGAACAGAGGCTATCATCCTCTGTGGTCGTGGAGGCTATGTCTTGTTGCGGTGCTTCTGAGATGGTAGAAACCATCAAATGAAGAGCAAAATCTTGAAACAGCAATGGCATCTTGGCTTTAGTTTGGCTTTGAATAATCATGTCACGTACTGACTGAGTTATCACTTGAAGCAATCAAATCAGAACCTTGAGAAACAGGGATATCCAGAAAAAGAAAGCTTGAGTTCCTGGACCATGGTCTCCAACAAGAACCTAGCAGGACAGCAGAGTAACTTGGCTGTGAGTGTTAGTTCTGTAGTCCGGGACTCCTCATCTATGACAAAGTGTTTCTTGTTTTCTGTTCTTCCCTTTTCTTTTTTTCTCAGTATTGGGAAAAACAAGGAGAGATATATAAAATGGAATTAGCTGTACCATCTATTATTAAGTGTCTTAAGTTGATCTAATTAAGATGTATTATTTAATCTTGGATTCAAAGGAATAAAAAATGTATAGCTACTCAAATAAGCAACAGAAGAATTACATATTGATTATTATGCTTAAATCAATGCTATGTTAATGCTGTTATTATAAAAGTGTCAAAAATACATAAGGTTCTTATTTTACATATCCAAGATGTTTCCTATGCCTTTCACAACTATGTTTCTAATTGAATATTTCAAATTCCCTGAGAAGAGAGTCTGTCTAAAATTCAGTGAACTCTCATTTATTTATGCTCTTTAAGAGGGGTTGATACTCCAAGAGTCATTTTTAATTTATCTTTCAAGTATTTTTCATAATTTATTTTACATGAGTTGTGCCTTCTCGTGTTTTCTTATGTGAATATCATGTTTCATTTTGTGATCATTCGGCAATGATCATTATAGGTGGATAAGAGGTGGAATTATAGGTGGGAAAGAGGAAATTCCAAAATAGGTTGGGAAGTTAGTTGAGCAAGGACTGAGATAAAACATTGGCCATAGTTAAAAAGTTGGTAAATCATGTGCAGCTAGGAGTGTTGGATTTGTAAGCCAAACTAGCGATTTCTCTTGCTTCCTCATTTTCACTGAAGTGTTGTTACATTCTGGCTTCTGTACCTCCTGGTCTGTATGCAATAAGGCTCAACACCCTTTCCTGCTGCCAGTTGCCTCACACCGGTTGATTTATGAAAGAGATCCGAGGGCAGTTGACCCACTGGAGACACTGCAGACATTTAAATCATTGTCCTAAAAAGGCAAACTTTAAACTTCAGAGCCAAGCCCAGAGGCAATGTTCAGGGCTTGGGCCATGAAACCGTCACCTCTAATCCTGGAAAACAAAAACACTGCCCCATGCTACATGGTCGTGTACCCTTCAATTACTATAAAGCCACCTCTGACAAAAATAATATTC